TACAATTAGAAAAGTTGCGACATCAGGATTAATACTTACAGACTGAGTATTAGCATGGAAAATCAGAAAAGCAATAACTTCATCCGCATGATACAAATCACTGCTCCTTATGCTTTCTACCAATGAAGAAAATTCCAACGCAAGGTTGGGGTGCTTCTTAGACACTAAAACATTCAAACATATGAGCAAGTATAACAAAGAAAATGAAACTGGTATACGTTTTCCAGTTTAAAAAAATAACCTAGTCAAACTATTTATATTAGTTGGAAGAAGTCCGTCAGGCACTTTTTAAAACCCTTACCAAAAATTATAAGGCACTGAAGCCGCTTTATATGAGAAGATTAGTTAATTTGACCTTTCTAGTCACCAAACTTATTGCTAAAAAAATCTTCTCCCGTATTTTTACATCCAGAAACAAAGAAGAAATCCAAAATTATAATACAGAAGCGGCATGCAAACCTTTATTAAAAAATCTGTCTATTAATTGTCGTGGATCTGTATCAATTCCGGGAGGCAGCGAGGTAGTCAACATGTTGCATATGCTGTCTTTTAAAGTTGCTGGAAGATACAAACTCTACAGGAAATAACGAAAAATATATTACTTGTACAACGAATATTCTGAAGATGCTGTCATCTTGTCCAAAAATCAACACCTTCTACAATCAGAGGTTATTATTTCCGTAATCAGTACATGACTTTCAAAATAAATTTGTATAATTGACTTACAGTCACAGTCAAACTCCCGTATAAATTCGTCTAAAAATGAACCCAAATCCAACTCAGATTGCATTATAAAATAGTTGACACCAACACCAAATGAAAACCCTGGTTCCACTAACCTAGCAATAGCCTGCAAAAAAAAAAATATATATATATTTCAACAGACAAAAAGACAACCAACTTAAACGACTTCCAAAAAATAGTAATGTACACCCATTACCAAGCGCAGAAAAATGCGGAACAGCGACAGACTAACTATATATCTATTCAAACAGTACATAACAATGTATTGCAAACGATAACGCTATCTGTAAATCAACTCCAAATCGAGACTGTACGGCAAACTGAGTCATCTGGCATAATTATGAAGCAGATAACCTCTCAGCAAAATCTGATCAACTCTTCTGTGGTACGTTTGTTCCCATCAATCAAATTCTGTTTCTGAGAGATAGGCTTCCATCTAGTCAGTCACTTCACGTTTGCCAGTACGTTATCCAAGTTTAAAAATTACTTTGAAACCAATCTCATAATGAACATTATTTCAAACAATTACAAGAAAAACTATAAGGAAAAATGAATATATTAGTTTCCTGAAACTTTCGAACACCTGCTCCCGTATTTTTAATGTTGATTACAACCACTTGCGCTGTAGGCCCCGTGGTCTACCTCTACCGTAATAACCAATCACAGTTAAAACGAATGCAAACAACGTAAAACCGAACTGAAACCACCCCAAAATTTCTTAATGACGATGACTATGATAAGAGAATGCAATGACTTGTTCCAGAACCTCTGAATTCAAGTAGTGCTACAAATTGAAGGACCAAGTTGTCAAAGGTTAAAAGTCGCATAAACGAAGGCGACCGGAACTGAATTCTTGCAACAACTTAAGAAAGCTAAAAACTAGTTTTAAATGCACAAATACAGTTTAAAAAACTTCAGTAGCAACTTTAATAACCGATCCCTGCCGTAAGCGACAAGTGCCTAATAGTCAAGTAGTGACCCTTATTTCAAAAGTATGAAGAGAGCGCGAAAGAATACCTAAATCCATAATTACTGACAGATAGCTTAAAAATAATCAGTTGAAAGATCTGCTCCCAAAATTGCAAGCAACACGAAGATCAGATATCCAAGGTAAAAAATTGTCGCAATCTAAAGAAGACATGAACGAATATAGAGGGCTCGTAGTGATTACAACAAAAACCTAAGGAGAAACCAGAAAAGTTGGTAACAGTTCTCTAAACCCAAAGAACGAACACCTTTAAAATATATTTTAGAGAAACTGTGAAAGGTTACCAACGCTACCCGAAACCATCCAGCTTCCAATGGCTCATAACTACATTAACAGTGCGTGTGTTCAGTTAGCGTATCAAAACAATCCCAATAATTAAGGAAGAAACCAATAATAAATATGAAATGATCAAAAGCAGAAATATTGCTTAGAAAACAATTTTATTCACGGTAATAAATCATCGCTAATTGCAGAGAAGCAGATTAAGCAGAAATTTCCATCCAAAATGCCAAGACCTTTACCATCATTTTTTTCCTCGCTTACTTTTCCTTGACCTCTTTTTTGTATAACCAAAAAATTTTACTTCAAGCCCTATAAAACAGAACTGAGTATAAGGAACAAAAACAACCAAGTACCAAGGCAAACGATAGGAAAAAAAGATGGTAAAGGCCAATGCTATCCAGTTTTTTTAAAGCCATATTTTTTTCTTTCATAGAACAAATCAGTTTTAGCACTTCCCAAATTGACAATTTTCGGACAACCATCTCTATCCTTCTCCATAAGTGTGCACTCTTTGCAGTAGTATGCGTCACTCACACCCGAGCCACCACATATCACGCACCTACCCTGAAACACATGTAAATATTAATTTAAATCTTTGTCAGAAATTTACTAAGACTAGAAACAGAATATCCCGTAAAGCAAAATAGCAGCTTTGATAAAAATAAATATTTATTTTCCTGGGGCAGTATACACTTGGAGAAAAATTGATTGAAGAGAGATTCCTTAAATCTGCGCATAAGAAAAGAAAACCTGATAGGAACCATAATTACATTCGTCACATATTCGTACTAATGTACATGGACGGACATACGAGTCACAGATAACACATCGACCATCACCTGAAGTGAAATCTAGCAGTCACCTACAAGTGTTCAAACAAGAAAAACTAGACAAAAGCAAAGCTTTTATTCGAGTCCAAAGTTATGAATCAGTGCAACTTTTGGGGCACATACATTTCTCACAAAGTCTTCCAATAGCAACGCCGGGCTGCTTTCGACAGAATATTAAATCTGGATGGTGCTTAGCCATATACACCTGCAAAATAAAGAAATGAAAAAAGCACATCGTTGAGTTTGCTCTACGTAAAATATATAAACAACGTTTCCCAAATTAACATTACCGAAAAATTAGTTGAAAAAAAAAGATATTAAACAGTTAACATAAAACGTATACAACAAAACCAAACGATACGCAACAACCGTTACCATACAGAATAACTGAATACATTTTTAGCAACGAACTAACGTTAGACCGCCAAAATCAAAATTTCAATTTATGGAGAAAAGCCAAAAAAAATAACACATGATGTGTGCAATTTGCAGCTCTTTAATTTCAGTAATTGCTGATGAGCATTTAAGAGCGACCTA